CGATTTTTTTGGTCAATTCAAACTATGTTGACACACAGGAAGGAGGATTACTAAAGGGAAACTTACGTCTTTACCGTAATTTTCTTTACCATTGCTAAAGTCTGGTACCAAAATATGCAGTATTTATGTGGCGATCTTTACTCCCAATTCTTTCTTGGGGAGATGGGAAACGTGAAGAGAGAGAGGCCGTGTGACTTCGAAGAACCTTGGGGCTCTTCAGCTCCTGGTAACTTCTCTTTTGCTCGTGGCTCTCGGGGCTATTCAGTTCCTCCTTCAGGTGGAGTGGTTTTCAGGACATGCCGTGCGACTTCGAACAACCACTCATCTTCTAGTTGCAACGACAACACTTGCTTGTCCAGCTCTTTTCGTCCCTATGAACATAGGTGCTGCGAGGGCCCCGGTGAACCTTCATCTGACCTATGAAGATTATCAGTTGGAACGTACGTGGTCTCTATGTTGATCGACGCAAAAAGGAGGTCAATTTCTTGATTTCCAAATTTAAACATTTAGCTTTTATTATGCAAGAAACTAAGTGTACTCCACCCTCTCTTTTGGATGCAAGACTCTCTAGGGTAATGGTTCTGTGTGCTTTGAGGGTGTCGATGACACTGGATTTTCTGGCCATCTGGGGGTTCTTTGGGACTCAACAGCTTTGCTTTGCTTGGATGTTTTTAAATATGATATGTTCTTGGCAATTACTTTTGAATGTCCTGTCAAAGGTTTCCGTTGGTGCTTATTAATGTGTATGGCCTAATATTGCTGCCCTTAAATGTGTCTTTTTGGATGATTTGAAATCTTTTATCTTCTCTTTGGGACTTTTTGTGTGTATTGGAGGGAATTTTAATCTTATTCGCTACCTAAATGAAATATCTACTCATTCTTGGTTTAATTCTGATAAGCATCTATTTAATGACTTCATTATGGAGAATAATTTTATTAGATCTTCCTACTACTAGAGCTCACTTGGTCCAATAACTGTTCATCCAAGCTGATTATATTCAAGATTAATCGTTTTCTTGTCTAATAGGTTTGGGAAAGAGTATTCCCTTTGGTCAAGGTTAATGCTATTACCAAACTTTCTGATCACCTCCTTATTTGTCTTCATACTAAAGAGGTCACATCTGGGCCTAGACCTTTTCGTTTTGATATTCACTGGTTGAATGAGCTTGAAGTTGTGGATATCATCAATCATACTTAGGGTAGTTGTTATGTTTTGGGTAATTTTGGCTTTTGTCTTCATAAAAAGCTAATATGCTTGAAGTACAAACTCATCTCTTGGATAAAAGCAAACCAGCATCAACTTAAAGGCAAGATTGATACCACTTTGATGGATAGAGATGATTGAAAATACTATTCAGGAAAATCAAGTTTTATCTGATGAGATGATTGTTAATAAAAATTCTTTGTTTGATATGCTACATGATCTCTTTAAGATGAAGAAGATTTATTGAAAATAAAGGTCAAGAGTTAAATGGCTTAAAGAGAGTGACAAAAACACCAATTTTTTTCATGCTATCGCGAATGCGCGTAGAAGACAAAATGATATTTTCTATTATTTCTCTACCGGGTGTATCGGAAAGCGACGTTTCTGCTCGTGATGAGGTCATTGTTCAATATTTTGAATAAACATCCTCATGTAGCAAATCCCAACTGCTCGTGATGAGGTCATTGGGTTGCAGAATTGAGAAGTTTCTCCTTAAATATTTAGGGGTTTCTATCTCTGATCGTAAGCTCAATCGTGCACTTGGGACCCTCTTATCACAGGTATTAAGTTAAATTTGACCTATGGAAGACCAAGACTTTATGTTTTGGTGGGCGTATCACTTTGGTTAAATCCACGTATGTACATCTTCTTATTTATTTGATGTCAGTTCTACAAATACATAGTGAAGTAATCAAATGTATTGAAAAATATATGCGAAACTTCATTTGGGGTAATATGGAGGATAACTACAAAAAGTTTCATTTGGTGAACTGGGACCAGGTTTGTATGCTGTCAGAGCTGGGGGGTTTGGGTATCAAAAAGCTTAAACTTGTAAACTGGATATTTCTTTTTAAATGGTGGTGGAGAATCTTTCAGGGCTCATCTCATCTCTAGAAGGATGTGCTAATTGCTAAATATGGTTTCGATTATCGAACCCACTCGATTAAAAAAGATAGATGAAGCAAATTCACCTCACAGATTTGGAAGGATATTTATAGTTGCAAAAATATTATTTTCAGCAACATCAAATGGTTTATTGGCAATGGAGATAACACTCTATTTTGGTTCAGTAAATGGCTAGATGATGCACCTCTCTCTTTTACGTATCCTGACCTCTTTACCAGAGTTGCTCAACCTGAAGCAAAACTTTCAGAGTTGATTTTTCTTTCCCCCTCTTAATTGTATGATCTGGAACATTGGATGCCGCTACACTAGGCTATCGGACATGGTTATTTCGCGGCTTCACAATAGCCTCCAACAGCTTGAGCAAGTTTACATCTCTTCTAATGCCGAAGATTTGGTCATATGGGAATCAGAAACTGATAGAGTTTTATCTGTCAAATCAGTGTATAGGCTCCTTTTTATGGATCGGATCCGTATTGTTAATATATCTTTGGGTTCTATTTGGAAATGACCAGTTCCAGTTAAAATCCAAGCCTTTCTATGGGTCGCATGTCAAAGGGGTAAAATTCTTTCAAACATTTGCTTGATGTGTAAAAATGATAAAGAATCTTGCTCTCATATTTTCCTTCACTGTCTTTTTGCCTCGAGCTTGTAGTTGTGGCCCTTCTCCTTATTAAGTTTTTCCCTCATGATACCTTTGAATCCCATCAACATTATCAACTATCTTTCTGTCATTGGATTACCAAAAAAAGGAGTTTTGATTTGGAAAATTTTCAGAAGTGTAATTTTATGGCAGATTTGGTTAGAACATAACAAGATAACCTTTGATGGCGTGACTTTGTATATTGAAAGGGTAAAATATCTCATTTTACAATCTCTTTGAAATTGATTTTCCTCCATGCCTGAAGGACGAGGTGCTCTTCGGACTGATATTTATATGAATATGAAAGTTTTGGCTCATTCTTCTTCTCACTCTAGCCGTCCCCTTCGAACTTGGACTGCGCTTCTAGAAGCTTGTCTCAAACTTAATTTTGATGGCAGCTCATTTGGAAATCCAGGGCCTGCAGGTATTGGTGGGCTTCTTCGCAACAATTAGGGATTCGTTCTTTTTTCTTATTCGGGTCCTTATAGGTCTACAACAGCCAATCATGCCAAATCAGCTGCTCTCCTTCAAGGCATTCATATTATCATCGACAGGGGTTTCATTGGTGATAGTATAATTGAAGGGGATTCCCTGAATGTTATCAAGTGATATAGAAAAGAGCAAAGGATCCCCTGATCCATATTTACTCTTTGGTTAAAAATTCAAGACCTATGTGCCTGGCCTGATTTGAGGATAAGCTTCGGCCACACCATGTGTTCAGCCAATGTGTCGCTGATAGGCTAGCTAAACATGGTGTTTCTCTTCCCTTTTTGCAAGTTTCTAATGATTTGATCCAATCTATGTAATCTCATGCTTTTTAAGCATTGCTTTAATATAAGTTCATAACATTTGTCAAAAAAAAAAGAAAAGAGAGAGAGGAGGAGAGAGAGTGATGGGAGAGAGATAGCTTTAATATAAGTTCATAACATTTGTCAAAAAAAAAGAAGAGAAAGTGTAGGAGAGAGAGTGATAGGAGAGAGATGGGAAAAACAGAGAGAAGGGGTATACGTAGAGAGAGAGAAAAAAATTTGGGATGATGGCTTTTAGAAAAAACATATCTTTTTAGATTTGTTTGGCCTAAAAAAACATGTTTAAATTAACTCAAGGAGTTAGAAGAAATAAAATCTACAATTTTTATGCTCCAAGATATCTTTAAAACCTTGGGCCTATTATGAAATGAGACGTAAAAAATCATTGATAAAACCCTGGTCTGATATTTTAAACATCAAACCGCATATTAGATTTACTTTTTTTTTTTGACATTCATAGGTTGGTTCGATGATAAAACCATTGAATTGTGACCATACACTTTTTTGTCGATGGCTTATATTTTTAACATCACATTGCATTAATTGGTAAAATCTTAATTGATGCATGTTAAGAGAGTCATTGGTAAAATCTTTATTGGTGCATCTTAAGGGAGTCATGTTACAAAGTACTAACACATGTGCAATCTTAATTGTTCTTTATCAGGGCATGTTAAGGGAACCGTGTTACTAGTACTAATGCATGTACATCAATGAGACACGTATCATATTACTAGAACAACGGTTACTCTGTTTATACCTCATTTTTTTAAAGTTTAAGACGGTCCAATGTTTCAAATATTAGACTAAATAAACAGTATAAACCATATGATGTTTTGAACATCAGATCGCCCTACAAAATGGACGTTTGTTATTTTTGACACATATGAATATCATAAAGTTAAAAACATAAATTTAATACGCATGACACACTTAAAATTTTTTTTAGAAAAATAAGACAAGGACCTCCGTATACATGTCACATATTTTTAGACCATCACATAATAATGGTGAAATAAAATGGTACAAACGTAATTTTCATTTTCCCTTTAATAAATTGTGAAGACATGAATCTACATAATGGCTTGAATCTTTTATTATTCCGAAAAAAGAAGCCAAGAACGTGTGAAGCACCATCTTCTTTGTACATCACATGATATTTCTTCTACCCAAATCAATGCAAACTTGCAACTAGATAAAATACTCCCAAACTCTCATGTTACCTTATCTCAAAATCCTCCCTTCTATTTCTATTCATCTTTTCATATTTAAATGTCGTTTTAGTGGGTGCTCCTCAAAAACCTCCATTTTACAATCCCTTAATATAGTAGAGGGAAAGGGGGCTCCCAAAGCCGATCAAAGTTTTTCATGCATGACACACAAAAAAACATCTAAAACACAACACGGTTTCCTTCAATTCTGCCCTTCCCATTCCTTTTTCTCCTTTTTTTTTTTTTCCCTACCTTCTTTTGTTCATAGTAGGTGTTTATTAAGCCTCACAACACAAGTTGAAATAAGTATTTCCCCGAATTTAATTGGGATGTGTTTCAACAGCTGTAATGCACAATATCCCTTAACTTTAGCAGCTTGAATTCCTTAAAAAAAAAAAAGAAGAAAAATAAAAAAAGGAAATAAATGAAACCTGCAATCACGGACATTTTTTTATTTACTGTTGCTTGATCCCATTCTACAGCCATGGTGAATCATAGATTGGAGTGACTACTGACTTGATTTGGAGGTAGTTTTCCAAGGCTTGCAGGCCTAAATCTCTACCAATTCCACTCATTTTGTATCCACCAAAAGGAATATCGTCGTCGAAAGCGAAGTAGCAATTGATCCAAATGACACCGGCCCGAATCGATCTCGAGACCGTATTGGCAATGTTGAGGTTGTTGGTCACAATCCCAGCTGCTAAACCATACCTTGTGTTGTTTGCCTTTTGAATTGCCTCCTCAATAGTCCTAATCCACAACCAAGAGCAAGGATGAGGCCCATTTTGAGAGAGAGAGAGAGACAGGGAGAGAGAGAGAGAGAGACTCACTTGAATTTCATTAGGGACATGACTGGCCCAAATATTTCATCCTTTGCTATAAGCATATCCTCCTGCAACAACAGGAAATTATGGTCAATACTTACATAGATGCATGCATAACAAAGCTCCCTCTCTCTCATACATAACAAAGTCAACAAGGCAATATATGATTCATGGTCTCTTTCTCTCTCTTAATGCATAAGAAAGTCAACAAGGCGATGCATGATTCATACGAGGCCATACATGACCTCACACACATTCACACACACTGATATCGTTTGTGCTTACCTCGACGTCGGTGAAAATGGTGGGTTCGACATAATAGCCCTTCTCGCCCCAAGGTTTACCCCCTGTCAACAAGGTGGCCCCCTCTCTCTTTCCATGCTCAATATAACTCAGGATTTTGTTGAATTGTTTCTTGTCAACCTTCTCAAAAGGAGAAGCCAGGAAAACCACATAAATCTACGAGTAAAACTCCAAAAAATAAAAAATAAAATAAAATAAAATAAAAAACAAAATACAAGCTTCCGATTTTGGAAATATATAATTTTGGGCAATATACATAAGAACAAAAAAAAAAAAATATATGGGCCTATTTCAGGCAAAAATTTCACAAACGGTCGGTCAACCGGTGTTTTTTTATTTTTCAAAATTATCTCTCGGTCCGAGAATGCCGCTTTTTAAATTGTTTTTTTTTTATGGTTTTTTTGTTATTAGGGCAGTGCCTGTGCCTAGTCTAGAAGGTAGTCCGAAGTTGGCATCCTCCGCCTTATTTCTTAGCAAACAAATGAGCTAATGCGGCCTGAGGATGCCAATGTCAATATGCCCGGAAGAGTACAAGAGAAGGCGGTCCGAGAATGGGCAGCTTGGACCACGTATTTGGGGGCCAAGGATACCAACCTCGGACCACTTTGAAGTGCACCACAAAATGCGGTTCGATGATGTTAACATCGGATGGATTGGGCACTGCTCCAAACATAAGCGCACAACTCTATCATCTAAAATAACTAAAAAAAAAAATTGCAATATTCTCGGATTGAGACGCAATTTTTAGAGAAAAAAAAAAAACCTCTCGTATAGACCAACCTTCTGTATAATTTTAATCCAAAATGGGCTCATTGCGTATTTTAGTTTTTTTTTTTTGTCCGTACGTAATTCATAAAATTAATCAATGTGATTTACAACAAAATTATTTCTTTTCTATGATACATTATTATAGCAACTTGGTTTATAGAATAACATCAAAATTCTTTTTGAGGCATTCACCCAAGAGAAAAAAAAACAACGTTGTCATTCTATACCTGTGGACCTTGAAGGACATTAGGATCAAAAGGATCTCCAACCACCCAACTCTTCGCCTTTTCGGCTGATCTTTTCACAAATTCATCATAAATTCCTTCTTGAACAAAAACCCGAGAACCAGCGACACAAATCTCACCCTGCACAACCATAATTAGTATTGCATCCTCGAAAATCATACAAAAGAGAAAAACAGAAAAAAAAAATGCTAAACATCCATTTGGTAGTGAGATCTGTTTTTTTGGAGAGTGATTTACGTAGGGACCCCAAAATTTTAGGTAAAATACCAAATGTACTGCAGAAATTATAAAAAAAGTCGGTCAACCTACTATTTTTTATTGTTCCAAAATCGCCCCTAATTTTGATTGGTTTTTTTTAGTTTTTTCGTTAGTAGAGCAATGCCTTAAAGTTTGGGGCACTGTCCTACTAATGAAAAAACTAAAAAAAAAATCTAAATTATGGTTGCACAATGGGTAATTTTGAAAAAGAAAAGAAGCTTGGCCTTATGTAATTTCCACTTATGAAGTGGGCATTTTGTATTTTAACTAAAATTTTAAGGTCTATTCTTAAATCACTCTTTTTTTGGACCTTGAGAGATCGGTGTTTATATTTTTTTTGGGTAGATCATTGGAAAATACAGACCCTATCTATTTTAAAAAATAATTTCGAATGCGTGGAATGGAAACTTAAAGCGGTAGCTAAAGCTCAAGTGGTACTACCACTACGAAGTCAACACATTTTCATTTGTTAGAGAGAGAGAGAGAGAGTTGCCTTATTGGTGAAGACGGCCAAGCGAGCAAGGTCGACAGCCATGTCAAGATCTGCATCATCACATATAATGAGAGGGGACTTGCCACCAAGCTCGAGGCTCACGGGCTTCAAATTGCTCGACCCAGATGCCTGCAATATTAGCCTCCCCACTTCAGTAGATCCTGTGAAAGCAACCTGCACGCAGCCAAGTCCATCAGTTATGCCTCTTTCTCTCACAAATACACACACACCCAAGTCTTACAAATCATTTTAGTGCATTACACATACTCTCTTTTATAAATGAATACATTTGGGAGAACATAACTGCAGCTCTAATAGACAATAAGATGATCGAAAGTAGACTTTATTGGATTCGATGCTATTCAAAATCACCTATATAAAGAAATCTCATATTATGTAGGATTGAGATAGATATTAAATAGAAATCCCAAAAGATTAGGGAATTACACCTCTAGTAGGGAATTAGATATATCTTTTGGTTTTTGAGATATATATAACATTTATAGGGAATTACACCTCTAGAAAACCATATATTTTGGCATTTGTATGACCCCAAATTTTGCACACACATTCTCTTCATCCCCATAATCAATCCTACGTAAAACAAAATTCAATTGGCACCCTAGATAAAATTAGTATGCATCCAACAATGAATCTCGACCATCCATTTGGTGAATTTCAATATCTAGGTCTTAAACAATTCAAAATCACTTTTTTCTTTTTTAGCATATTATTAATCTAATGATAACACTATATAAAAATTTTGGGAATAAAAAATATCCTTTTGAGACCTATTTCTAACCATCTCAATAAAATGAACGGCTTATATTAATTGGGCTAAAATGAAAACTTTCTAAATAATTTTTTCAAAATTTTCTTTTTTGTGATTGTTCTTCGGAATAAAAAGAGTGTACCTTTAAAAATGTGTCAAACAAATGTCTTTAACATGGTTTTTGAAGATGGTTGCATTATACTACCATACAACCGATGCATGAAATTATTCCCCATAAATATATATATATATAGGATGAGAATTTATGTGCCTTATTTAGATCACCATATGGGAATGACTTCTCCTTAAAATAGAGCTTCTTATGGAGAGAAACTTTGTACTGGTGATATTGTGATAGAGAAGCGGTTCCGATGGAGATTTTAAATCGTTTCCTCTTTTAGTTAGAAAGAAAGTCAGTTTTGAGTTGCTCTCCCGTCTCTATCTGATGTTGTTGGTAATGGTTGGCAGAATCTATGATATAACTTTCGTTAGAATAGGATGAGAATTTGTGTGCCTTATTTAGATCACCATATGGGAATGACTTCTCCTTAGAAAGAATAGAACTTCTTATGGAGAGAAACATTGTGCTGGTGACATTGTGATAGAGAAGCAATTCTGATGGAGATTTTAAGTCGTTTCCTCTTTTAGTTATAGAGAAAATCAGTTTTGAGTTGTTCTTGCGTCTCTATCTGATGTTGTTGGTAATGGTTGGCAGAATATATGATGTAACTTTCGGTAGAATAGTGGATTTCAGTTTGTTGCGTCCGTAAATGTAACCTTCTGGGTGAACCACGTATATCTTTGTGTTTTTGTGGTATGTGTTTCATGCTTTATTTCTTATATTTTATTTGCCAAAAAATCAACCAATGATAAAGCAAAATGAAAAACCACGATTCATAGAGCCTAGCCGACTCCAAATAGTTAGAAAAAACTCTAACAATGAGGATGACGAGACATAATCTCTCCCTCATTTTGTATATACTAGAGAGAATTAGAAAAAAAAATTTTGGGAAGAATTCACTTAAGCTGTTTGGAAAGCGTAGAAATGAAAAAATGCAAATAAATTAGGAGCTTACTTTGTCAATTTCCATATGAGAGCTAATGGCAGCACCTGCAGTTTGGCCAAATCCAGGAACCACATTCAGCACCCCAGGGGGTATACCAGCCTGAAATTTCAGTAAAATAAATAAAACCCACAAAGAAAATCATTTAGTTAGTACACTACAAATTAAACAAAATATTGCATAGATCAAGGAAAAGCATATTATGCACCAGTGGTCTATGTATATATGATACACAGCAAGACATCAACCGTTCGTTTCAATATGTGGAGATTAAAATGATACAAGGGATGGATGGTTGGCCCATAAAGTGTACCATATAGAATACACCACTGGTGTGAACTTTCGCTTTGCTAGAACACAATCCTTTGGGTAAAGGTTGTAATCCTAGTCCAATTAGGAAAAGTAAACAATAAGATTATCTATTTTTGGTACGTGGAGGTTACAGTTAATCTTGACCATCGGATGTGAAATTGAGTGGCTACATTTATTCTCTTGACAACACTTAAAAGTTGAGAAGAAATTTTTTTGAACTATCTTACACAACCAAGCTGTCAGTTTTCACATTAGAATGTTATAGGTAATTGTGACCTTATATGTAAATGGTCTCATGGTATACAATCCTATCCAAATATTATAGACTGCAAACTCAAGCACAAACTCGGCACCTCTTGATAAAGGAGAATATTCATCAGTTTCATTTTTTGGAAATTTATCGAAGCATATATAAGGCTCGAACTGTTTAAAATTTTACATAAGATATATTTTGGTAAATTTCTTAAAACCCATTTAGAGGTGGCATTTCATGAGTTATGTGAAATTGGATGAAAGCAATGATGGGTTATTTGAAATTACATGGCAAAACATGGGTACTATGTTAAATAATTCAAATCTTATGTATAACTTGCAAAAAAGTTTTCTTTTGTAGGAATCTTATATGAGTGGGACATCTTTTTTACGTATCATATTTCTATAAAAAAAATAACTAAAAATATTTTTTTATTAAAATAAGATATCTTTGAAAATTATTTTCAGCCAAAGTACAAAAGCAATAAAAGTGCCCCAAGAGAACCAAAAGACCAAATTAAATGGGACATCTTTCCATTTCTCAATCAAGCACCCCACTAGATGGGACATCGAAATATATTTGTATGTTGGACCTTTGCACATAAATAAAAAATTACCCTTTGGATATAATTTATAGGTACTAGTCGGATTACCCTTGGGCATAATTGATAGGTACTAGTCGGCAAGAATATTTTAGGTCCACTAAATTTTTATCTAAGATATTAAAGTCCTCATTAAATATATGCAATTTTATACTTTGAGACGACTTATCTTTGTTACAAGGAGATCTCAATTACTCCAGCTCAATGGATGTCAAATTAGATGTCTTGGGTGTGTCACGAAGATCCTTTTTTTTTTTTTGGAACTTTGAGTTGTCATTTTTATAACCACCGAATTTGAAATATGATGTACGTGTTTATGACCTCCTTGTGCCAAAAGTAAATGATCTCTTTGTATATTTTTCATGTGAGAAGGTACAAAATAAGGCCAAAGAGAGATTTTATGCACATGTGGAACTATGGGTGGCATTGAGCACCCCGGTTTAGCTGAAACAACTTTTACCCGGGACACGAAATTTGCCCCAAAACTGCGCTCAAGCTCAAATATATTCATGATTGGGCCGGGCTTGGGCCCTAGCTGAAAAATCCAAATTTTTCTAGAGGCATTGGTGTGTGATCTTCGTGTACAAAAAATTAAGTGTTATGGTATATAATCCCATGCATTGAAATCTCTTACCCCCTCTATCTCTCACCTGTTTGGAAAGGTCGGCGACGAAGAGTGCGGTGAGCGGTGTCTGCTCCGCTGGCTTTATCACGATGGTACATCCGGCGGCCAATGCCGGGCTCACCTTCATGAAGAACATCACTAAGGGGTAATTCCATGGAATTATCTGACCCACCACCCCTATAGGTTCTTTCAGTGTATATCCTTGAAGTTCCCCTCCCATTTTCATGGTCTCACCATGGATTTTATCAGCTGCTCCTGCATAGTAACGAAGAGTCTTGGCCACTGAGCGCACATCCCTTAATCTCACAAACGATAACACTTTCCCACTGTCCCAGCTTTCCAGCAGTGCTAGCTCTTCCTTGTTTTCTTCAATTAAATCAGCGAATTTGCACATAATTCTCCCTCTTTCCTATGAAAATGAGAAAAAAAAAGAAAAAAAAGAATAAGGATTGCAGGTAAAATTTAGGAGTGGAAGAGTTATGGGAATAACTTTTTTTCACAAAAAAGGAGAAGGGAGCGTTGGTTGTTTATTTATTTATTCTGCCTTTACAGCCCCTATCCGTTTTAAAAAGAGTCAATTTTTTTGAAAGTATTAGTGAGACGAGATCATGTTCTACTCTACATTGTCAAAAAAGAGAGCATGTTCAATTCTTGGTAACATGTGTGTCACGATGTCATTGAAATCTTGTAAAAAATAATATTCACTATGTATTAACAAAAAAAATGACACTTTGATCAGATGAAATTTTCTGGACAATTTTTTTTTTTTTCAAAAACAGTTGGTTTTGTCCATTTAAGGGAAAAGGAAGTTGTAAAAGAACAAAATGTTGCTCCAATTGAGCACAAAAAACTATTTTTATTTTTTTCTTCAAGTCCTTTGCACCTTGCCTTTTAGCTATTACTGTCTTTTTTTTATTCATTTGAGCTATCAAAGGGTAAAATAGTAATTTGATACCGCCTACCTTGGGATCATAGCTTTATTAACCTTCGTAAATAAATGTATAGAATGAGACCATTTACTTTATAATAAAGGTCACAATTATCATTATTGACCATTAGAATTGAAATAAAGTGGATGAAGATGTGTTATTCTTTGGGTGCAAAATCCAAAACAAATATTCTCGAATGTTGTGATACACTTTCATTTATGGAAAATTGTTTCATACGGATTGAACCGCATTACTACATGTGCGGTCCAAAAAGTATAAAGCATTTATCTTAAAGATGGATGCAGGTATGTTCCATCTCAAAACAATAGAAACTAACGGTCTAAATGTTTTCTTTTAGAAAAATATGTATGTGTAGAACCTCAAAAGATCACCATTAAATGTGGCATGAATCTATAGAAAAATAAACTCCCATACCCATGTAATAACTTTTTTAAAGATCCGTATCAACTTTAATGGTGATCTTTTAGGTCCTATATACATATGTCACTCTCAAAACACAAGTTTGAGAGTGCTTTGCTCTAAGTAAATAATTTGAACTTGCTACCACTTGCTTTCGTTGCTCGTTGCCACCTCTACCATAAGAGCAAGTGCTTTGATGGCTACACTTCTTCTCGCATAGTAGAAATTGCTCGTTGCTAAAATGCTTTATGAAAAAGAAAGAAAAATCATTGAACGCTTCAACTTGGCCACTGAAGAAGGTGAAGGCTGGGCGAGAGACTGGGCCAACTTACTGCTGCCGTGCCATGGTTGAAGCTCGAGGCTCCATAGACTAAACTATGTATAAGGCCTTTTTTTTTTTTTTTGGAAGGGGAGGGCACCACCCAATGGGGTTCAATGCCTAACAAAAACAAAACACACAAGCCAAAGCCAAAAAAAAAAGGCGAACGAAAGATATGTGTGGCCGAAGAGAGGAGAGATAAAACACATGCGTGGCTGTGGATCCATGTATGTAAGACCTCAAAAAATCACCGTTAGATTTGGTAGGGATCTATAAAAAAAGTTACCTCCCGTAACCCTATGATATCTTTTTTAGAAATATGTTCAAATGATTATCCTTTGAGTCCTACATAGGTGAAAAAGATCCTATAATATCATTACTTTGAAAAATATATATAAAATAGAAGAAGGTATGTTATTTAATTGAAGTTAAAGGGCAAATTGACCTTTTTCCTCAATTTTAAATGACTTCTTATTTTATCCCCATCACTTTCAAGGCCTTCGTTTTTGTCGTTGCCCAAATAAAGACAAACGGTTTTGGAAATAAAATAAGGCGATGCCCAAATAAAGACAAAAGGTCTTGGAGCAAATTGTAAATCTACTAAGTCGGTCAGAAGACCTACTCGGGAAAAGTTTAACAACGACCTAAGAAATGCCGGATGAAAAGTTTTTCAAATTAAAAATTTTGGGTATTATTTTTCATAATAGAAATTTTGAATTATTTGAGTTTCCAAACAGTTAGATCTCTCCCACTAAAAATTGGACCGTCTATTGAAAATCTGAGAATTATTATTTTTCCAAATATATACCAGGTGTGATTAGGAGATTATTTCTCTTGAGATAATCTAAACCGTCTATTCAATTTTGAGACATTATTTTTTCTAAGGTGGTACAAATACAAAAGTATAGCTATTGAGATTAATATGTGTCCAAAAATTAATCCTAGATCCTATTTTACCTGGGGGAGTAAATGCACACTATCCTCCAGCAGGGAAATAATATCTTCCAGCTAAAATGATAGTCGAATTAAGAAAGGGTGTGGTTTGGATAGAGCCAAGACTCTAAGCAATCAAAGTAGTGCCCACCCTTAAACAGTGTCGAGAATTATCGTTTCAACATTAAAAATCTCTGTGATAGCCTTTAAATATATTTTTATTTTTAATTATAAAATTTAAATCTTCAAAAATAGTATATATCAATATATATATATATATATATATATATATATATATATATATATATATATATATATATATATATATATATATATAATTA